CATTTCAAATGGGCCGGATCCGGCCCGCGGGCCGTAGTTTGCCCACGGCTGACTAAGGCTTGCTCCTTACCCTGGCACCCAGCCATTTGTGCCACGTGCTTGGACTCCACTCCAAAGAGCAAGTGGTCCCATTTGTGTGAAGGGAGTGGGTAGGTTGCTGGCATTCCTTAGGAAAGGGAAAAATATGGAGGTAGCCATTTTTTATTCCCCTTGCCCATCCTCTCAGCAATCCTTATTCCCCCATGAAGGCCAGTGGCATTTTCCCACCTGAGAGGGGAGAGCAGGAGGGGCAGGAAAATGGGAGCTGAGAAGAGAGGCAGGGGCCTAGCCGCCATCCTTACCCGCTTTGGGGTGGTGACAAGCCTCCCAGCTGAGCTGAGCGTGCCTCTCAATCTTCCAGTAGGCTGCCTGACAGGAGGGCTGCTCTCAGGTGGGATCTGAACCTCCCTGCCTAGAGACAGATCTAGAAAAGACATCTTCCCCAAATTCTTAGGGTCTGTGGGTGCTTTTGGAAAGCAAAGCCATCTCCTCCTCAGGATTTAAGTGCACCACCCACTGAGCAGGCTGTGCACCACATGGTGCCCTCTCAGGGTTTGCTGGGGCCTTTACCAGACTCATCGGTCAATCACGGTCCCTTCGGTTGCTAAGGCCCAAGGGGTGGACCCTAGTGTATTCCGCTTCCCAGGTCTCCAATCAGGAATTTGACTCACACACAAAGACTCCCCACTTCTTTCCAGCTCTTTCTAAAAGCAGTCTCTTCTGTGCATCCACTACCTAGTCAGTTATGACTTTTTTCTGACAGCAAATCAAGTTTATTTGAACATAAAACATACCGCGTGACCCCACAGCCACCCTCTGTCAGCCCCCACCTCTCAACCCATAAACATCCCTTGGGGGCAACTTTGAGGAGATAGAAAGCCAAGGAGTGTGTAAAGTGTATATTTGTTTCCCCCCCATGTCCCGCGTGGTTCAGGGTTCAGGATCTGGAAGAGGGGCCGGCCACAAATGAAAGAGACAAGACGAGATAATTTGGAGCCGAAACCGGTTTGGCTCAGTGGATAGAGCGTCGGCCTGCGGACTGAAAGGTCCCAGGTTCGATTCCGGTCAAGGGCATGTACCTAGGTTGCGGGCACATCCCCAGCAGGAGATGTGCAGGAGGCAGCTGGGCGATGTTTCTAACTCTCTATCTCTCTCCCTTCCTCTCTGTGAAAAATCAATAAAATATATTTTTAAAAAAAGAGAGATAATTTGGAAATTGGGGGGCCAGGCGAGAGCCCATCCCAAGAGGATGGACTATGCTTGTGCTCCTGCCTCGCCATCTTTTTATTCAGTTTGGGATCCACCCATAGCCCTTAGGCAGGCAAGTTCCAGTAACAGGAAGACTATCTTATCAGTAAGGATTTACATGATAATAGATGGGGAAGTTGCTCCAGCTACCTTTGTCTGAACTAAACAGTGGGTGATAGCCCTGACCTTTGCCAGGGCTTCAAGGGTCACCAGCCTTCCAGGCTCCTTGTCCACACCTCTCTGCTAGAGAAGACAATAGGTGGTTTCCCACAAAGGAGCTCATTCCCAAAGGTCCTCCAGAGCCTTCAAGAGTAGACCCAGGGAGTTAAGATACTGGAGGACAGGGGGTATCACCCCCTAAACCTATGACCCACCACCGTCCTTGACATCCAGCCTAGGCACACTCCAGCCTGTCCTCTCCATTCCCTCCCACCTCCCTGGGTTCTAGGCACCTCCACCAACCTCACCAAGCTCCATAAATAGACCCCCATGTGCAGCAGCGAGAACGTCTCTCACCTTTGCATAAGTTAAGTAAATATTACATACCCTCCCATCACCTAGATAAATATATAAATACATGTAAATATTAATTAGGAGCAATGAGACATAAATTAATGCTGCTCTCCTTCCCCCATAGGTCTGGTCTGGCGTGTCTGCACTTGTCCCATCCAGGCTGGGGCTGGAGGTTCCCCGGTAGTGTTGAGAGTTACCTCCTGAATCCCAGTTTGGGATGCGCTCTTGCACACCAGATACTCCTAGTGTTTATTTCAGATTCTTGTTGGGGGCTGTGGGGAGTCACAGTTAGAAGGCAGCCTGGTGTTCCTAGAGAAAAGTTCCGAGATCCAGAGGGTTGTTCGAGGGCTCTGCTGACAGATGAAGGGGCTTGAGGTCCGTGGGTGCGGGTGCAGGAATGAACATGAGGGACACAGCGCTGGGGGCATCCTCTGGGGCCAGGGAGCCCTGTTTCTTCAGCGTCAGGTCTGGCAGAAGCCGATGGTGAGCAGGAGAAAGAGGAGCCTTTTGGTAGGATTCAGATCTTCGGCGGGCAGCTGGCGCCGGACCACTTGTGGGTAGAGGACTGTAAGGCTGGGAGGCACTGAGGCACACGGTTGGGATCACCACTGGCTCAGGGAGAGGGTCAAACATGAAGATCTCAGCACCAGTACAGTCATTGTAGGGAGGGAGCTTCAAGAGTGAGACATGGTAGCTTATCCAAGAGTCTTTCATAGCTCTTAGAAGAACCCATTCTACTCTTTGCTATTGGCATTCTTGGCAAATAAAACCTTATGTTCTTGATGTGATGGACAGATTCTCTGCTTCTCTCAAATTCAAAGAGCTAGCACAAATCTTGCAGTGAGGGTCCATCCACAGGCTTGCAGTACCACATACTTTCTGATTATGTAATCTTTCTGAACTTGTTTATTAGTGTGTGTGTGTATACTTAGGGTTTTCTGCATGCAAGTTCATGGCATCTAAGAATAGAGTTTTACTTCTTGCTTTTACATCCAGTTGCCTTTTTCTCTCCTTGACTAATTGCCCTGGCTAGAATTTCCAGTGAATTGTTAAATAGGAGATATCCTTGACTTGTTTCTGATCTTAGCAGGGAAATTTTCAGTCTTTCACCATTAATCATCATTTTAACTATAGGGTTTTTGTGGATGTCTTTCATGAGGTTGAAGAAGTTACCAATCTCCCTACCCCCTTACCTCTGAGGGGGAATGACCACCAATAGTACCTAAGACATTTTCTTGTTTGTTTGTTTTTTTAAGATGTTTTTAACAAACTATATTATAAAAGGCCTGTGGCCCTAACTCTATAATGACCAAAGACCAGAGCGGGTGGGCGGGGCGGGGCGGGTGGATGGGACTGCATGATTTCTCACGCTGGGCTTCTAGTTTGATGGTAAGTATCAACATGCTTTATTCTTCTAAAACATAGTCCCTGTGATTCATAGTCCCTGCCGCTTGCCACCTACGCCTACCTCCAACATGAGGTCCGAAATATTTTGTGGCATTAAAATGACTTAAAAAGGCCCTAACCAGTTTGGCTCAGTGGATAGAGCGTCAGCCTGCGGACTGAAGGGTCCTAGGTTCGATTCCGGTCAAGGGCATGTACCTTGGCTGCAGGCACATCCCCAGTGGGGAGTGTGTAGGAGGCAGCTGATTGATGTTTCTCTCTCATCAATGTTTCTGTCTATTCCTCTCCACTCCTCTCTGTAAAAAATCAATAAAATATATTTTAAAAATAAAGTAAAATGACTTAAAAATTATATTTGGTCACTGGTTAAGGCTGGAACTATAGTGAGGCAAGTGAGGCATTTGCCAGGGGAGCAAAATTTAAGGAGACAACAAAAATTCAGTGATCAAGATAAATAATATTTAAAAAAATCAAATGGACACCTGTTTTGGGGGAAAAAAATTTTTTTCTAAGTAAAGGAATTAGAGTGAGGCAAGGCTGTACAAGTACAGAGTCTGACCTGGCCTTTTTTGTTGACATTCATCAAGGATTGTTCTTGCATTGATTTTTATTTTGAAAGTATTTTATTAAATATTTTTATTTTGAATACTGAGTTTTTTTATGCTTCCTTATATTTTATGCCTGAAGTGAGTGCCTCACTTGCCTTACTCTAGCTAGCCCCTGCCCTGTCACTGGGACCTTGAATGAGGGGAATATTCCCAGAAACGAGGGGAATTTATACACTTAGTTAAAACCTATTGCTTCCTGCCCTTTGTGTTGATTTTACTGGTGTTTTAGCAGCTGCCTATAGAGGTAAAACAAACAACAACAACAAAAAGTAAACTGATAAATAGCTAAAGCAATTGGTTTTGTTCAAAATTCAGAGAAATAAGGGCCACAGTTGCAGAGTGATGTAGTTTCAAAAATTTAGTGGTTGTATGACTTTGTGCAAGTTGCTTTATCTCTTACAGCCTTAGTTTCATCAACAGAGTACAGTAGTATCTGCATCATAGAGTTTTTGAGGGCTAAATGAGCTAATAAGACAGGTAATGGGCAAAAGAGTTGAATAAATGTTTGCTATATGTCCTTCAGAAAGTGAGTCTAAAACCTCTCTTTAGGGTAGTTAGAAATTTTTAATTTTTTAATTACAGTTGCTATACAATATTATATTAGTTTGGTTATATAATATATAGTGATTAGATATTTATATAACTTATGAAATAAGTGATCTCCCCCGTAAATCTTGGGTAACTATCAATTTGACAAGCTGGAGTAGATACCTCCTTTCTCTGGATTTATATATCGAACTTTAGCAATGGTAGTAGACTTGATAGAATTGAAATAACATCCCATTAAAAGGTGGATTTTAATAGGAAATAATGCCAAGCTCTGGCAGACTGAAGGGGCGGGGGGTGTTTGATGTAACCTGGATAATAGCGGAGTCAAGGGATTCAGGAGGCACTGTCATTAAGTAGATTATTACAGCCATGAGGATATTGGAGGGTCTGATTTGGCTCAAATCATATGTGAAAGACTGAGGAAAGATGTTGAACAGAGTACAGTAAGTTGGAGTTTCTGTATGAGAGTAAAAATTCATGTAATCATAGGGTTGTAAAAAATCTTTAGAGGTCACTATTTCACGCTCTTAAACATAAATTCCCTACTAGTGGCTTGGTGCACAAAATTCGTGTGGGGGGCGGGGGTTCCTTCAGCCCGGCCTGCACCCTCTCCAATCGGGGACCCCTTGAGGGATGTTGGACATCCCTCTCGCGATCTGGGACCGCTGGCTCCTAACCACTCACCTATCTGCCTGCCTGATTCCCTGACCCCCTGGCTCTGCCTTGGCCTCCACCACCATGGCTTTGTCCAGAAGGAAGTCGGATATCCAGAAGATGGCCAGTTGACCCGATCTAATTAGCATATTACCCTTTTATTAGTATAGATATCTATATTTATAACATTTCAGACAAATGAGAGTCCAGGTTTTGATCTTTTCAGGAGAACAAGCAAAGCTTTTGAGTTAATCATTAAAAGCCCTTCCAGTTTGAGCCAAGACAAATGCATCATGAAGAGTAAATACATGTTGTTTGTATGAGATGATGAGAAATCCACACTTTTCCAATAAATTTCCCCATGTTTTTACTAAAGTGAAACTATTACCTTTAAAAATGGGTATCTTCGTCTTTGGATAACTACCCATATAAATTAGAAAAGCAATTTTATATTATACCTACATTATTTTATATTCTTTATATACTTATATACATGTTATTTATATTATATTGAATGCAAAAATATTACTTCCATTTTAATAAGAGGTTCTAAATAAGAAAAGGCCCTACAAATTTATTTCTGTTTTTGTCCATAGTAAACATTCCCAAAACGTTGTTGCAATCTCTTTTTAGAAATAAAAGGCAAAAATAAGACCAAAATTGGAACTGGCAACAGTAAGGACTTAATGGGAACTGCACTTCTCTGTTTACCACTACCAGCTAAAGGAGAACAAAAGTACTGAAGTTAGACAGAGAGCGTGCTTGCTAGATGTATTGGCTCATAGCTCCAGAAATATTTATGGAGCATCCACTCTGTGTTAAGCATTGTGCGAGGCACTTAGGACACATGAACTATGGTCTCTTCTCAAGTAACTCATAAATCTAGTTGGAGAGGAAGCTAAGTGAATATGTGCAATTATATGTGTTCAGGAAGCATGTATAGTCATTCTCTCAGAAATTGAAGGGAACCAAAGTCACTTTGTTTTGAAGTATTTAAAAAAATGACAAAACTGTTTATAAAAATTGGGATGTATTTTAAATGTTCACAAATAATAAACTAGTGCTTTTATAATTAAAAAACCCGTGCTCTAAAATAGAAGGCAATATAATTATACTTTTCACAAGAAAATTAATCATATAATTTTTATGAAAATTAATTATTCCTATGGTACCTTACACAGTCTGATCTATTTTATTTTTAAATGTGTTTTTATTGATTTCAGAGAGAGGAAGGGAGAGGGAGAGAGGAATAGAAACATCAATGATGAGAGAAAATCATTGATGGGCTGCCTCCTGCATGCCTCCCACTGGGGATTGAGCCTGAAACTGGGGTAAGTGCCCTGTGCCCTGATTGGGAATTGAACTACTTGGTCCATGGGTCTATGCTCAACCACTGAGCCACATGGATCGGGCTGATCTATTTTAAACTGTATGAAGAATGTTGTTTTTCTTCAATCCTGACAATACTTCTGAGACTATCTCTAACTTAGGTCAAAAATTCAAATTTGAGTTTCTTTGGTGCGATCTGGGCCAAATGGTTCTCCTTGACATATTAGCTACGTGTTTTCTTGATGGATTCAGTGAAGCATATCACTACAGAGAGTAGCATGAATAAAGCACCATGTTTTTGTGATAATATTCCTGAAAACTAAGGGAAAGGACATGAGAATCTGGGAAAAGGTTGATTGTCATATTAAGGACACTTTCTTCATAACCTTATAGACGGTGTTGAAAGGGTCCTTACCCAAGTTCAAAAGCATTTGGTTTCTCTTCCCTATGAAGAGGCTGAACAGCAATTGAATTTCATCTCTAAATCATAGCTGACGAGACCTTTGATTTTTAGCTATGTGTATTATACAATTCCATTACAAATCAAACGGTGGTCTCTGAAATTACAAAATCCAGAAATTAAAATTGTGCATAATTTTACTTTTTAAAAAAACCTGCAACACATTGCAATGCTCTTAAATAATTGACATATTTAAAAAGTAATTTAGTTTTTTAATAAGTTTATTAATGACCATTAGTTTGAAAGTTCAAAACCTTTGGCACTTCTCAGGTGTTTTCTCAGATGTGAAGCCATCTAATATTAATTTTGTCCCACTTAACATACACACCTGTATACTTAAAAGGAAAAATTACTCAAAATAGAAAATTAAATATTTTTTATAGGCTAGATGCATACACATGAGAAAACCTTTTAGGGTTTCAGTAACTATTAAATGTCAATTCAGTTGAACTAAAGTATTTATTATTAAACAAGTGAGAGTAAAATATAGCATTAACTAAAATATAAAGATAAAAAAAGGCCTGGAATCAGCCTGAGACCGGAATGGAAACATTAACCGGGAAAGTGCTGATCCGTCATTTTACAAATCAGAAAACTGAGCCCAGAGAGAGGAAGTGATAATACCCAGGGTTGCCTAACAGCAGAACTGGGATTACAATATAAATCTCCTGAACATGGAAGATTTTTAAAGTCACGTTAAGATTTTCAAGTGTTATACTATAGGTCAGTGGTTCTCTACCCTGGCTGTGCATCAGAATCACCTTGTTACCTAACAGTCAAATAAAGAACCATTTAGAAAAAGAATGAAAGGAATTTCATAACTGAATTCATTGACACTTAGGCTATATTGAAGTTTTGTTGCTGTTGTTGTTGTTTTTAGTCTCATTGTATATTTTTATGTTGGGGGCATAGATATTGTTTCCTAATTTTATATTTTCCAGTTACTTGTCAATTTGAAAATTTGTGAATTTTATATTAAATACTGATGACATCCCAAATATAAGGTTTATTTTCAGAAAATCTAGCATAGAATGGATGTTTAAGTTTATGTAGCTGCCTGGCTGGTGTTGCCCAGTGGTTTGATTCCCAGTCAGGGCACATGCCCAGGTTGCAGGCTCAGATTTGATCCCCAGGAGGGTGTGTGTGGGAGGCAACCAATCAATGATTCTTTCTCATCATTGATGTTTCTATCTCTCTCTCCCTCTCCCTTCCTCTCTGAAATCAATAAAAATATATTTTTTAAAAGATTATATAATTGAAGTATATCTATATTCTCCCCTTTAAATCTGAAGCACCTTCAGGTTTAAAATTTCCTACTCATATTATTTCAGTTAGTATTTTAAATACAGATGTCTGGACCCTGCATTAGTTTAGATGAGTTCTGTGCCATCAGGCTTGT